ATATATATATATATATATATATATATATAGTATATATATATATATATATATAATAATAATAATATATATATATATATATATATATATATATATATATATATATATATATATATATATATATATATATATATATATATATATATATATATATATATATATATATATATATATATATATAAGGGAAAATCTAAATATACGGAGAAAATATGTGCAATGGAAAAACCAGAAGGGGCAAATATGCTATTTCCATATTATAAAAGGATAGATACGTAAAACCACCAATGCACGAGTGCTTCAGTCGACATCCATCCACTTCGGTAGAAGAGAGGACATGAACCCAAACTCACCCACATTTCCTACTTTGCCCTCCGCCCTCAGCCTCACATTCCCGCCCCTTTCCACCCGCCGCAAACAGGTCTGGAAGACCTCCCTCACCCACCTCTCGAAGATGCCCTCCAGGAAGGAGCCGGCGGCGGCCATCAGCTCCGCCACCGCCGCGCCGTCGATAAGCAGCTCCCCGATTTCCCCTCCGACGCCGCTCCTCACCTCGTCGAATGCCCGACGGAGCTTCGAAACGAGATTCTCGGACGCCGGACGCAGCCTTTCGAGGTCGGCGTCCATGGCCAATCGAGCGGTGATCAGTTCGAGCAGCTCAGATGGAAGACGGGAGTTCCCGCAGTCTGTCTCATTGGTTAGATCGCTCGGGACTGCCTCTTCGTCCTCCCCCTCTGCAAGTAGGTTCAGGTCAAGAGTGCAATCTCCCGTTCTTGGTCGTTTCGGCTTATTCTGTTGCTCTGTTTCTGCCTTCCTTCTGAGATCTTTGTTGGTTGACGGCACTTCGGCCTGCAACTTCATCTTGATCACGTCGTTGGCATCTCCAATGCCAGCCGAGCTCGATGTGGTCAGGATGAAGGTTGTCTCAGTCAGGCACACCTCTTGGCCCGATGACGTCTCAAAAGCTCCCATCTTTAGCACATCCACCAGAGATGTTACGAAGCTGGTGTCTGCTCGATCAATGTCCTCCATGAAAACCACAAGCTTCGATTCCTTTTCCAAGGCTTCCTCGAGGATCTCTCCGCATGAGCTGCATTTGCTCGCCCGTCTCCTCATGTCGATGTGTATGAACCTTTCTTCGGATCCACCGAAATGCTCGACCATCACTCGTGCCAGTCTCCTCTTCGAGACGCAATCGTTTCCTTGTAACAGGAGACGAACGCCCTTGTTTTCGCTTGATGTCAGTGCTTCGACCATCGAAGGAACGATTTCTGATTGCCAAGGCATGTTCTCTAGCAATTTCCGGGTTAGTTCTCGATGGTCTGTCATCATTTCTTTCTGCTTGTTTGATGTCGCCGAGTCCGAGACGACAGCACCGCCCAAAGACAGAGTAACTCCGACATCCAGATTTCCTGCACTTCTAAGGCAATGCAAGCTGACTTCAGGAAAGCTCGGCTTCGATTCTTCCCTCTCCTGCCAGTTACCCGTTCCATTTCTCGAATCGATCATGTCGAATGGCAATCCACCATCAAGCTCTGGAGTAGTTTGCATCGAGCTCTCGCTCTGGTTGCTGTTAGGCCACCATGGGTATGATGAAGAACAGCTGAGGTTCTTGCCAATGGAACTCTGATTCAAGATCGAGGATGGATGCAAACGAGTCTGACTACGTCTGATGTGATGGAGATTTCGGCACAGGCTGTTCCATTTCCTCTTCAATTCCAGCAATGCATCCTGGAGATGATGTTATGGAGCGTTAGCTACCGAAACAGAGGAACAAAACTAGCATTCACTTCATGCTGCTGCTACCTTGTGGTTGTCTGGACTCTGTCTTTGCAGCCAGAACGGCAACTGTGTCGAGCCACAGTTGGTGTCTTTGTTCACTGACCTGTGCACTGAAGCTTCTTTCTCAAAGTTGGAGATGCATTCACCACAGCAGATGAGCTTCTCATCCTCCCTGGAGCTGAGAACCTTGGAACCAAGCAGCGGAGAAGGATGCTCGAAGAGTTCCGGCAACCCGGTGTGTAGGCCACTGCAGAGCAAGAAAGCAAGGAAGGAAACCAGTTAGAGCTAAAAGATGTGATGACTACCATCCAATTCTTTTCACTCCATCTTCTGCATCGGCAAAGGCTAAAAATCAAGTATGTTTGATGATTCATTTGCTGCGTTTTATTTGGAGACGACATTAATTTTCTTAGGTCGCCAACAAACGACTACTGTGTTGTTTGAATGACAATTAGCAGGTAAATGGAGGCAAAGGAATTGGACGGTAGTGACGAAGACATGAGGCTCTCTGGGTTGGCGATCTCACCTGGGAGCTTGGAGGCTCAGTCCAAGGCCACCTGAGGGAACCACTACAGCTTGAAGAGCCCACCGAGTCTCGAGAGATGGCTGCCTCACTTGGCACCTCATGTAGGTCTGATAGCTTGCAGTCGCCAGTAACCACAGCTTGGTGTTCACAGTGCCACCGCCGCCATTGCCGATGCTGCTCCTGAACTCAGATAGCAACCTTCCCAACTCTGCAACCATGTGTTCGACTGGCTTAAACCGGCATCCGTCTCTTGTTTCCTCATCGACTGCCCATCTCAAGTCACCTGCGTAGATGATGACACCTCCACCTGTTCTCTCTGATGCTAAATGGTCAATCTTTCTCCTGAGATCAGAAAGCTTCAGGTCCACGTCACTCCTGCTCATGAGCCTCAGGTGGACATAGGAGAGATGAAGCTTAATGAAATGAGCGGCCTTGAGCTCATCGGGGACCTCACCTCTCCCCACCTTCGCCATGAGCTCAGCTACGACCCCCTCTGCCAGGGAAACAGAGTCCCCCACCAGTACAGTGTTGGTCCTCCTCCCCTGTTTCCCGAGCATCACCTCCAAGACTGCGCTCGAGTCGTGGTGGTGGTGGGAGGATTGTTGCGAAGACAGCGTAAACAGCGGGCTCCGATGGTCAATGACATCTTTATGTGACTCGAGCAAGAACGGCGAGGACCGGCTCAAAACAGAGGAGGTCTCCCCCTCCAAGCTGTTCTTGACAGAGGTGCTGGAGAAGCCAGCCTCCCTCATCACCCGGCTGACACTTGGATCGTCCAAGATGGAGATGATGAGCTGCTCCAGCTCGATCTTGACAGCCAAGAGAAGCTGCTGCTGTTGCTGCTGGAGTTCCATGCAGCCCCTCCTCTGGTGGGCCTGTGCCCTCTTGAGAGCCGCAACGAGAGCATTGGAGAGGGAGGGATGAGAGGCGGGCGGTGGAGTGGTGGGGAGCCTGTTGAGGGCCACATTGAAGCAGAGCTCGAGCGCTCTGCAGCGGAGGGGGTGGGAGGCAGGGCAGTGGGGCTGCGACTTGAGGCAGGCTCTTCTGAGGAGGTTGGAGGAGGAGGAGCAGCTCAGGAGGGTAGTAGCGACATGGAGCGGGGTGACCTGAGCGTGGCCTCTGCGCCTGGCCAAGCTGAGGGAGTGCTTGAGCACGGAGGCAGCCTCTGCGGTGAGGGCCTGTTGCAGTGTGCAAGCTCCTGTTCGCATCACTTAACCCACCCCAACACCAACCCCCCGCCGCCCCGGTGTTCTCCTTGCTCTGCTTCTTCTCTGAGCTGCTTTGCACACCCTCTCTTCTACTACTACTACTACTACTACTGCCACTACTACTACTACTACTTTGTGGGGATTGAGGAGTTGCGTTGGAAGTGGAAGAGGTCGTAGAACCGAAGTAGAGTGAGCTTTATACAAGCTAAACCATCTCTCTCTCTCTGTCTCTCTGTATTCTCTCCATCTCCCTGTCCTTCTGTTGTGAGTGTGGCACTGTTGCTTTTGGGTGTCCCATTCAAGGATGGTTCACTTTCACTTTCTGCACCTATTTTGGCCTAATCTCATTTCTTTTGCTTTGTTAATATCCGTGCCAACATATCTCATCACTCTTTGGCTCTCTTGACAGAGGCCAAACACCATGCTTGCTTCCTTGCCACATCTCTTACTGCCCGTGCCATTGGTCTGTCCAAAAACTCCAAAAAAGTATAGCGGTGAAACAAAAAGAAGAAAGAAAAGCCACAGAAGAAGCCACCTTTGACATGAGATCAGTGGTCTGCTTCTCTCCTCAACTGGGCAGATGAAGCCATCAGACATCTCCAAAACAAAGGAAAAGAGAAAGCAGAAAGGCGAAGAGGAGAGAAATAAAAAGGAAAGAATGGAAGATGTGATGAAAGCAGCACTGCATATTGAGCTTTTTGTGCAGGCACTAATAAATTTGTGTTTCTCCGAATGCTGCTGTCTCACTTTGCTTTTTCTTTGGTGCAGATGCAGTGTGATATATCCTTGTCTCAAAAGAAGAAAGAGATCAGAGGCCTCTTGCACCAAAACTCAGGGACACGACCAATGTTAATATTCCTCCCAAGGACACAGAAAGCAGGTTCATGTCTGCTTGTCTGGCATGGCCTCCATTAATTTTGTTTTTGAGTTCTTCATGTAACCTCCAAACCCTTCATGTTTTCTTGTGTTGTCTTCGCAACTATGCAGGCCATCACAAGCAGATTCTTTTTCCCTCCTCAACAAGAAGAAAGAAAGGTTATTGTTTTCCTTTACCTCTTTTTGCATGTAGTTGCTCAATAAAAATAATATCCTGCACAGTGATCCCCTCCTAATTGATGTTGTTCTTTCGTTAATAAGAGGATGAAACATCACATTTGTTACTGCAAAACCTTTTCTCAAACCCTGTGACAGTGTGCCAAAAGGATAGCTAGAGAACAAACATCAGGTCATGATGGGAACTTGTATTGGAGAAACAAATGGGCATCTACTTGTGTAGAGTGTAGTGTAGTGTCACAAATACCCATTATATCTCCATGATCAAAGGGAAAAGGTGAAGAATGTACTCAGTGAGTAAGATTACATTACATGGATACACTTACCTTTTGTTAATGCATTCTTTTCCTCATTCTCATGAGGGCAGCTTTTTGACCAGTCTTTTTGAGCTCAGACTGTGTTGGAAGCCGTGAAAGAGATCCCACTCCATGCCTTCTTTTTCTCTTTCCTCGAGTGCATGTTACCCAATCAAAAGGACCAAGTATTGGATTGGTGGCTGCCTCTGCCTGTAGTTTTCTCATGTCAGTTGTAGTAACAGGTTAGAGAACATAAGGAGCAGAAAGAGAGATGTTGGGCTGCAGAATACATACATATATGTACAATATGTTTTGCTTCATTTAGGTAGCTTGTTTCAAGTTAATTTATGTTACTGACTGACCTGTGATTTTTCTGCTTTGTTCTTTTCTTTCTCTTGAGTACCATATTGATTCTACTTGGAACTACTGATGCCAATTCTCCAGCCATCATTCAGCATATTTTGAATTTATCATTTGCCTGAAACAACTTTGAGGCTGCAAAGTATTGCTTCAAAAAAATTAAATAGTTTGATTGCAATAACAATAAATTGAGCAAATAAACAGTGTTGACTAATGTTGTTATTTCTTTGTTTGCAACATTAGTCATTATTGTCATAACAAAGTCTTGATAAGACTTAACCAACTATCATGCTGAAGTCAAATCTCTTATCGGATAACATATTCCCAGTCTAATTAAAACTCATGCAAGAAATGTATCATCTTAAGAACCAGAAAATGCATTTTAATAGCAAACCTTTCAAGTATAGACAAATAACTTTAGCATGAAGAAATTTCTGAAATGATGACTTGCAGATAGGAGAGGAAAAAACATGATATCTCAGTCTGTCAAAATAGCAAAGTTTGGGGGAAAATCCATGCACTTATAAGCTGGTCAATTTATTCTTCCAACAATGCTGTATAAAATGGAGAAAGATATATGTATCAAGTGCAAGAAAATCTAAAGGACTGGGTGGAGACTTATCTTTGGTCTGAAGTCCTCTTATAAAGCAGGATAGAAAACCAAGTAGTTTCCCCAACTTACAAGAAAGGTACTGCTTTATGGCCTCAGGATCAAACATTTATGTGAACGGGTGAAACTTTAGAAAGCAGTAACTTTTCCTAGCATGTTCAGAAAGTAATAGGATTAGTTTGCACCAACCTTTCAGTTCCAAGATACATAGCTGAAACAATCAAAAAACTATTGAATGAAGCTTAAAGTGCACTCACTACAGACATCAACAAGTAAAGCAAAGAACATATTCATTCCTGCTGCATGAGGGAAAGGCTTGCTACTAGTACAAGCTTTTTAGGCTAGTGAGATCATATGGGGGTAGAGGCATCATAAGTACTTGGGAAAGAATCTTCTTAAGCTCAGTAAAAATGTTGAGCTAATAAGATTGAGGTGTGCATGACAGAAAGAACAGTTCAAACCTGTAGCAAAGTTTTGAGATTAAGCTTTATGACCGTATTCTTTTTTGTGGAAAACTATGCATGAATGCAAGTCTTTTTGCACTTCTTAACATGTAATAAGATCACCTATAAAGATCCTGTTTGTTGTTTCTCACAGCCATCCTAGTGTTACAATTGGCTTCTTTCATCTGAAGAAACATGGAGCAAGGTTCAAAAAGCTTACAGCTATCATGTGACAGTGAGTTCATCCAATCACAAGAATGATTCTTGGCTTTAGTAAAGCACAGATAAGCACAGCAAACACTAGTTGGAAGCACACCATTTGTTGCAGAGCACTCAATGCTTCTATGCCAAAGATGATGTAGAAATGATACCCAGAGATTAACAAGCACAAGATGGACCTGCAGAAGGACCCAAATGTTCATGGTGCGGCATATATATGCTTTGACAAGATTGGTAGTGTACTAATCACTGGTTCTAAATCTTTGTCAGGACAGTTTGCTCTACAAGCTTTTTCTGAGGCAAATAAGTGAGAGGTTTGTACTCAAAAGAGTAGAGTAGAGCAGGACAGTGATAGTGCATGGATAAAAAGCATACCTGGGAGAAGGAAGAGCCCCAAATAAAACACATAAATATAGCAGCTGCCTTTCTTGGGTTTTTTTGGTCTTACAGCATGTGACAGACTTGGCCTCTTCCTGTTTCTCATACAGAACAGTGCATATCTGTTAAAGTCTACCTTGGAATAGACCCAATATTTCACTGCCTGCTTCCACAAACTGCGCAACCCAACATTTAGCTGGAACTATGAACAGTGTCTCATGATTGATTCTTTTTCCCACCACTTCAAAAGTGGGATGAACAGCAGGAAAAATACAAAAGGAATAACAAGAAACAAATTTGTCATAGTCCATGACATCCACCAGTGCAACATTCTAAATAATCCAAGAGGATTATCTCAATCAACATTCAAGAGTAGCCAGCCAGTAGAAGAACAAAGGAGCCATGAGAGTTGATCTGAGTGCTGACCGATGATGTGAAAGTACTGAATCTACTGTCACATTTGGGTCATGAACATTGCCAGTCCTTGAAACCCAGTAAGGTGCACAAGCTTCAGAAGCCATTCAGCTCGATCTTGTACGGGAAAAACTAATAAGCATGTTGAATTATTTGTCAATGAGGGGAGGGGACATAAGTCAGTATAAAGAATAGTACAATCATGTCCTCTTACATTGGGGGAGAGGCCGAGGAAGAATGAGGGACGGAATGTCTTGTAGCTCGGGCCCCTTGAGAAGCACAAAGGAGCAGTCGTCATTCACTGCACAAGACAAGAGGACGAGAGAGATGAGATTGGTGGGGCTGTACACTGAGATGTGCTTGCAATGTAAATCATCTGAGAGAAGACACTGTTGCACGATAGCTATAGAGATTTCAGCTTAGGATGCTAAGGAATGTAGCAAAACGCCAAGAGAATGAAACCCAAGACCTTAGCACTCTCTCTCTCTCTCTCTCTAACACACACACACACACACACACACACACAGATGGGGCTCTCCTTTTGAAGCTGACTTACATGGATTCTCTTTGTCAGCACAAAACCCATCACTCCTACGGAGGGGATGTGTACTCTACTGTTGGCTTCGGGCCCGAGACGAGAGATCAAGTTGTCATGCCTATATAATATCCTCCTCATTTTCTTTCTCAGTTCAGCAATGCCTTTCTTTGTTCATTGACATAATCTTCTTCTGAACCATTTACTGCTGCATGTTTGGGGATGTTCAGCAAAGGAAAGTCGCCACACATCTACAATCTCAGAACTCATAAATGATGCATCACATCACATTCAAGAATAACCACATATACACATTAGTTCTTCCTGAATCACATGAAAAGGATACAATCTTGCAAGGTAAAAAAAAGCATACGAGACTCATACTGAAATCTTGATCCTACAAACTATTTAGGTATCCAATACATTTCAATATCGATCAAAATACATATTTTCCTATCTATACTCGTCCCAGACCCAATTAACAAATGGCTAAGTATTATACCAAATTTTTGCTATGTGATACTATCAAGCAACAAAATAAAAATTCTTGCTTAGATAGGATAAATATCCAACATGTTGTGACTAAACTTAGACGAAGGTAGAAATTTACTTCGGAAATCTTACTATAAACAATCAAAATCTTTGTAAGTCGAGTTAGTTAACACATTCAAGGTTTGCGCTAAAACGTCATCCTACATCACATAATAAATTCTCATTCTCTATTCCTGAAGGTAGATGGGTCACTTGAAAAAAGGAAAAATGTAATATCACTGTTGGATGTATCTTTGGCATTTCAATTACCAAGAATATAATGCTCCTAGCTATTCTAGTGTAGTCAATCATCTTCAGTGGGTGACACATAGGAGCCCCTACAGCATCACTCACTGAGGATTGCACCAAGCTCAATCTTTCATACATCCAAGGCCGGGGTCTAGAAGTAGCCAACACCAACACTTACCTGTGTCACATTTTTCACCATGTTCACACTCTAATGAAACAGAGAAATGTTTGTTTTATCATGCTATGGCACCTTAATTATGTATTTAAAAACCATATAAATATGTCTTCTTTTAGAACATATAAAGATACCACCTTTCATGGTAGCTGCAACATTGAAGACCAGTCCACATAACGAAGCTTAGAAGAGCTTCTTTCTGCATCTAAGATGTGGAGAAACAGTGGTAGATGGCACCCTGCATCTGCTAAGACATCACTAGCAGTCTAAATACACTTGCTCACAGCTCATACGCAAATAGGAAGAGTAAACTAATAGCAGTTTCCAATTAAAGAAACTTTAGAAATTTCGATCTGTATCCAACATTCTTGCAACCTAATCCTACTGACCATTATAATTTGTTCTTGAAAATTCATCTCCAGATGTTCCTGAACTATATGGGCAATGTTTTGTATGATATATATACAACAGATTAGAAAGAAAGTGTGCTGTCCACTGGTGATCTATTATCCTGATAGTATCCTGCATGAGAGTATAATCAGAACAGTTTCATATATCATGTTTTCAAGGCGGTAACCTGCCTCTTCAGAGATTCATTTTCCTTTCTAAGTTTCATGATTTTCTGCTTTAATGTTTCGACATGATGTAGTGAAATGGAATCCCTTTGTTGGTTTATCTGCTTCTTTTTGATGATCTGCACTGCAATCAAGCATCAGCAGAATAAGAGAATTAGTAGGTGACAGACTAAAAGGAAGCATATGTAATCTCAATACAAGTTGGTCAGAAAGTTCATATACATATAAAAATATCAGAAGGAACAGTAAATCTCTGCAGAATGAAAAAGCAAGAGATGAAATGATGGATAGAGGTAGACGAGAACAAAAGAAAAACAACTGTTGTTCTAGGCATCAGTTGTAGCTGCAAGTTCCAGATGCAACAGTGTGGAAGTTGCTTTACTTGCATGTGACCGTGTGACCACATATGTTAATTATTTTGACTGATTTGCCACAAGTATAACAACCAGATGCATTTTTCACTGGACACTCACATTCATTTTCTGCATTCTGGAGCTTTACTTGCAGTTTATTTTTCTCTTCCTGTTCAGCTAGAAGCAAGTCCTTCAATTCTTGAATCTCAGAATTAACTGCTAAAAACAGCATGCTAATTTGAACAATAAGGTGTAATTACAAATTTTAACAATTTTTTTTTGAAAAAATACAAATAATGAACATACATTTTGATTGAAGATCAGCAGTAACCTGTTCAAAGTTGCTAGTCAGGATCTCAATATGAGTCTCATGAGTGGCCAAGTCTTGCTGGAGCTGATTCATTAGAGCTTGATCTGATGCTTGTTTATGAAGTGAACAGCTGATTGCAATGTAGCATCATATTTAACTATCAAATATGAAAGAAATGAAACTTAAAATTAACCTACCTGACCTGCTTCTCCAGGTCATGAATTTTCTGTTCATTCTCGTGTTTAAGCATTTTAATCATTTTCCTATGATCCTGATTGACATTAGATTTTCACCTTGATAAGCATATTTTAATAACCTAGCTAAAAAAAAGTGAGAAACTTACGTCTTCCAAACTGAGCAGCTTGCTATTGGCTTTTTCTAGTTCCTTTGTCAAACTTTGGCATTTGGTCCGATATTTCATCTAGCTTAAGAAAATTATTAGAAAACAAGGATAAGTCTTTGGAAATAGTAACATAACCTTGAAAAGTTCAAATTTTATATTGTTAACTGTTAAGGGTCATAAAAATACTAAATTTAATCAAATAGAGCAAACACCAAAAGAAGTTTTAAATGATAAACAATAATGAATCAAGCAGCATCATATGCAAACACAATTGCACTATTTAGCTTAATCTCTCGCACGCTGATAGAACTTACTCATAGAGAACAGAAGCTGCAGATACATTATTTTGGTCATATTTTCTTGTCGCATCATGCAAACATGATTATTATCTAGTAATGAGGACACATTATGCTTTATACTTCCCTACTGTAATTGAACCTCCAAAATAGTCATGCTACCACCTTCCTCAGTATACCAAAAACGAAAACCACCAATATCAACGAATAATCTTACAGACCTCTTGCTTGCTTCATTCCCTTCTAAGTTGGCATCAGATGAACAAATGGAATTGCATCCATCATACAGGTATTCTTGTTGGTCAGGAGAGAGAAGCTTGTCTCCAGAGTTATCCACTTTAACTATATTAAACAAAGTAGTGACTTTTATCTCTTCTTTTTGTAGTTCACTTTATCTCTATCCAAATTCATTACATTCTCTGTTATTCCAGAACTTCAATACTTCAGCATATCCCTAAAATTTAAAACTGCAGTTTTAGTTCATTATTATCTGTTACACATCATTTTACTTGACATGGATGAGAACTAAAGCCTTGCATGTTATGTTATGCATGAACGTTTGAGCATTTTTCTGCTATTTTTCTTATTTGTTTATGTTTTTTTTTATTTATAATAGTTTTTCTTGTTATAATTTCTTTTTTAAGAAAATACCAATTTGTCTTCTCCTATGAAACCTTCCAGGTTATCATTCGGGTTTAGAATATTCAGATCTTTATAAGATTGTCTAGCCCAGCATGTCAGATTAGCAAAGACATGCACAGTCATATAGGACGGTCTTGAGTTCAATTTGTTCACCAGATGATGGCCTCAAAAGGAAGCATTAGGGGAGAAAAAATAATGAGAATATAGTACCAAGCTAGAATCCTATCAAAAACTTTGAGGCCTCAATCCTATCACCTCAAAATCAATCAAAATATCCAAATCGAAAATCAGATCCTTTAAATATTAATACAATATATGACATTCAATAATATTTAAATTCCATAATCCATCTGATTTTGATATATTTTGTACATTCATGAAATTAATATAAAATGAATTGTGTGAGAAGTGCTTAGTGCTGATGCAGTATGTTAATTGATGATCAGAATGATTGACCCTGACGTATTTTTTTTAAGATGAATATACACAATAAATTGATTTGTTTTGATACTCTGCATTGTTTAAATCATAGCATATCCATGCCACCCAAAATTTTCTCTCATCTTAATATTTCATAAATATGTTTTTTATTTCTTGGCTTTTCAAACATCAGAGATCATGTTCAACAATGTTCAATTTAAGCGCTCTGGAATTGATTTTGAGGTGATTATGCTTGCAGCCTCAATCCTTCATTCATTCCAATAGAATATTAACCAAACTCTCTATCAAATCAAGCATTTAAGCAACTCTTAACAAATGAGACACCTCTTAGCAAAGAAGATCAGACATTAGATTAAAAGAATTATAGAATATCACTGTGAGGAGGTAGAGATGCAGCAGGACTGACTATACCTCATCCACAAATTTGGATAAAGGTTCATTAAACAACCTTCTTAATTGCTCATTATCTGTGGAAGATCAACTCCTGGAGTCAGTTCTGGACCACACTATAAGAAACATGTTTGCTTCATTTTTCAGACAAAATTTGCATCTAAATAAATGAACTCTGAGGGAAAACGACAAAGCAGTCTTTATATCAATTTTGGAAGAAACAAACAATTTCTATATGCCTCTTAGTGTATCCAAATGCATCAATAGTTTTCTTTTTTCTCAGTCCATCATTTGTGGCTTACATTTAATGACTTGTGGTTGAAATATGACTAAAAATTCTGAAGAGAAAAAAAAGGTTATCTGCAGCAAACAGCTTTAGTTGGAACATGCAAATGATCTGCAGATTTTGATTTTTTAACATAGCTTCAAATTAACAAAATAACATGCTTCACAACTTTTCCAATACAGGTGTCAGTAAGCTCATTTAGTAATAAAAATTGAGCAAATGAGTAAAAGGAAACAATCCAAAATAATAGAATTGAAAGAAATTTCTCAGTCACAATATTGTTAAAGCACTGGGTAAGGTATCTGAGGTCCCTCATCGCCGGAGGTTCTGGCCACTCGCTTAGGTGCTTGCTCAGGTAAAAAAGATGCTTTTCTTACAAAAATTGTACAAAAGTGATGAAGAGGAAATTGGGTTTAAACCAGATAGGCAAGTGAGTTGAGTCCTAAGAACAACCAATGACTCAGCTAATGTGCTCATCTAAGCGATGCCCAATTGAAGGTGTGTTGCTCAGACCCATCGAAGCACTCAGGCCTCGCTTCACCTTGCCCAAGTACCTAGGCAAGTGCCGCAGCACCTCTTGACATCATTGCTCAGTGGTGATGACAACATGTTTATTGTTCAATGCTCAACCCAAACAGAAACAAAATGATGTCGAGTGGCAAATAACAAACTCTCATATCAGTAAATGCTATGTATAACTGACCTGTACTCCTAAAATGCAATATTATACATTCTAAACGACATGAACATGTGCATGTTGTTAAAAGCTAACAGATCAAATGAATGAAATCATATAGCATTTTCCATCCAACACTAGATTATGAGGGCAGTTTCAACTTAAATCCTTCACCTTTCCAAACTAGCTAATGAAATCAAAATCATCCATTATCTACAATTTAAAATAATTACATCCATAGAAATAGTCCACAATATATGTACCCTCCCTTAGCATGCTACATGTACTAATATATGGAGATATTTGTCAGTGAAACTAACTGTAATGTGATAAAGTTTAGGGGAAAAAATCAACCAACCTACAAAATGATGGAAATTATTAATGATTAAGAGGTAAATAGAAGGGGTAACATTAATGTCTTATTTTTTGTATTGAGCTTGCAATATCAATTATTGTTCATAGCCTCCGCAGGAGCGAATTCTTGTGGTCTTTCAACAACATATTGATGAATTTGCTTGATCTCTTATAGCTACTCAGTTGCCATTCCATTCTAAACAGGTTGCGGCTCCATGCTTTCCTAGCTTCCATGGTGCAATAGCAAAGAGGATTCTTGTTTAAGCAAAAGTAGGAAGAAGTGTATCTGTAAGGAACCATTAATCACAAGAAATCTTTCCCTTTAACACAGGCAGCGATGGTTAAAATTCAGGTGACCTTAGGGAAATATACAGTGTAAAATATACATATTTTGATACTGCAAGATTTTGATCACCAATTCACTCTCCTCTAAGAATGATCTAAAACCAAATCTCAATGGAAAACTAAAAGAAGGAATTTACAATGAACATCTTATACTTCACTATTAGAGTAACATAACATATGAAAAGACCCATTGAGTTATATCAAATGTTGCTGGACCTGTTTTGAGATCATTGCAGGTGGCTTCAAGAGCTTCATATCTTCTGGTTTCATAGTTACGGCTTGTCTTCAATGACTGGATCTCCAAAAGCGCATCTTTGTAGCCCTGACAATGACTTGAAGAATGTAAGAAGAAACAAAATATCATGCATTTATTTGCTTAAGTTAGTTTCAATGAGACTATGAGTGTCAGTGCACATTATTCTATTTGTTTACGTTTATGTCTGCAATTTAAATCTGCCATGACCCTTATATTCTTTATAACCAAGATCATAAATTCTGATTTTGCTTTTTCTTTTTTTTCCTCTGCAGATTAGCTTCGTTAAAGATCCATAAACGCCCTTTTGGAGATGCAATTCACTGCATTATATACAGTCTAATGTACAAGGCTCCAGCATATATTGAGTATGCAGAGTATCAAGGTTTATCACTTATCCTTTCATGCAAAAGTTTATTGTTATAACACAAACCCTCCAGACAGTCCTTTCCAGCAATGCATGCATGTGCGTGTAAGATATTAACTATTGAAAACCAACATTTATGTCCTTCTAATTAGGCTAACACAAATAGCATTTCTTGTTGAAGCTGTAAATTAAAATTAAATGTTTGATTCTTTTTGGGTTAAGGTCTATTTTAACCCATGTGATTTTGGCCATGAACCACTTAAGCCTTTATATAGTTTACTCGTGTCTAAAATAATCCTTACATTTTCAAAAACGTAGCATATAAGTCACTCGCGTCAAGTCTAAGTTAATAGACATTAGAGTCTGCTTATATAGTATGCTGACTCACAATAAACCATTAATATAATGACATATGTAATTTAAGTTTAAAAAAGAGTTAAGGTCCATTTTAGCCCCTGTGGTTTTGGCTATGGACCACTTAAGCCTTTATGATTTATTTGTGTCTAAAATAACCCTTATATTTTCAAAAATATAGCATATAAGCCCCTTCCGTCAAGTTTGAATTAACAGATTTTAGAGTCTGCTTACGTGACATGCTGACTAATAATAAACCATTAATATAATGATATGTAATTTATGTTTAAAAAAAAAACTAAGACCACCATCAATGGCGGGAGGAGGCATCATCATGGAAGCTACCACCAGCAGCAGCACTGAGCCACTGCTACCTAGCTAGGCGTCGTACACATATAGCCTCTCCAGCACTAACAATGAGCTTAGGAGCTTCCGATCCTACCTCAGGTGGATGTGCGTTGACCAATCCGACGCTATACATGCAGTGTCTCCTAGTCCCTCTTCCTTCTCTTGGGTGTCTTCGTCCCCACCGCCTTCCACTTCGTCCTTTCCTGCGCCTTCACCCGATGCACCTACAATGTGGTGGTCCAGCTCTCTCTCACTTCCGCCTCCGACCTCTCCTACCTCTACCTCTCCACCTTCGTTTGTTGCTACGGCCTCCGCCGCAATCTCTTCCTTGACAAGATGAATCTTAACCTTTTTTAAAACTTAAATTACACATGTCATTATATTAATGGTTTATTGTGAGCCAGCATGTCACGTAAGCAGACTCTAACGTCTGTTAACTCAGACTTGACGAGAGAGGCTTATATGCTACGTTTTTTAAAATGTAAAGATTATTTTAGACACGAGTAAATCATAAAAGCTTAAGTGGTCAATGACAAAAACCACTTGGGCTAAAATAGGCCTTAAATATTTTTTAAACTTAAATTATATGTGTCATTATATTAGTGGTTTATTGTAAGTCAACATGCCGCGTAAACAGACGTCTGTTAACTTAGACTTAACGAGAGGGGTTTATATGCTATATTTTTTAAAATATAAAGATTATTTTAGATACGAGTAAACCATAAGGGCTTAAGTGGTCTATGACCAAAACCACAGGAGCTAAAATGAACCTTAATCCTTTTTTAAACTTAAATGATACGTGTCATTATATTAATGATTTATTGTGAGTCATCATGCTATGTAAGCATACTCTAACGTCTGTTAACTTGGATTTGACGGGAAAGACTTATATGTTATGTTTTTTAAAATGTATGGGTTATTTTATATATGAGTAAACCATAAAGGTTTAAGTAGTCATGGCCAAAATCACATAGGCTAAAATGGACCTTAACCCATTGTTTTTCCTAATTTCTTGCTAGAAACTCTTTCAATTCCTGTAATACAGTGTTCTTACTTGCTAGTTCTAGGTTATCACTTTTACTTCTAGAGCTCCAAACATATCCAAACCAATATCGATTCTGTCGTACAAATTGTTTCAATCTAACAAATGGAACAGAGGTCGGTGCGAAGTTGCAGCCATCAAAGTGCAGCTCCATATTATGCAGACAAGCAATAACAAAGACCTAAAATCCACAGTTTCCTAGTTGTCGCCAGACCACGTCAATTGCAGCTCCGCAATCAAATCCTAATCACCCAAATCCGTCCCCTCCCATGACAATGTGATCATGAACTTTCACATGTTGCCATTTCCAACCTAGTTATATTTGCTATGAGATTCTTCTGGATCAATTCAATCAATCACTAGGACCAGTCGATCTCCACACGAGAATAGCAGAGGGAAATCTCCAATCTCTACGCATCGGAAGCGAGATTGAAGGAACTATTCGGACCTGAATGAATCAAACACAAGTAGGGCACCTACTTGATAGATTTGCTCGAAGTTTCGAAGTAGGGATTCCATCCCCTCATCGCTCGTTGCGGCCGACTCCATCCCCTGGTATTCGTGCGCGCTAATTAGTTAGCGCAAACTTTTACGTATATATATATAT